GTTTGGGGTTCCGGCGAAAAATGTTCATAATTCGCTTCCGGAGCAGCTTAAAGGTGGGGAAAAGAGGGACTAACAAGGGAGGTGTTTCAGGTCATGGCGCGCTTTTTGGAAATGGTTTGTTGCTTGTGTTGGAGTCCATACAAGGGTCACAAAAATGGATTTCATTTTTGCTATGCGTTTCTGGGTAGGTCAAAAACTGAGTGGAAAGAATGGGCGGTTTTAGCAACCTTAATGGGCTCCTTTCTGCTTGTAACTTCGAGCATGCATAGTTTATGAGATGGTAACTAATTAGGAATCAAAACATATTCGATTAAAGTCAAAATATAAATATCATGTGGTAACACACTTGGCATGCATCGACGGAAGAGTGATGCTTTTGTCAGCGAGCCCTTCACGACCACTGCCAACGGGTCAGATGGCGCAGTGGATAACATGACGGATTCTGGATGGCACGGCAAGGGGACTTTGTGGATCGGATCTTCCTCGCGGAAATTTTTTTGCATTTTTCAGCTTCCCATTCATTCGCGTGCCTGTGTGTCTGGCAGTGAAATAAGTCAAGTATATGCCATTTAAAGGCATATACTTGTGACTGGTCTGACTGGTCTTGGGATGGAATTTTCTACCGGTAATCAGGAAAATGATGCAGGCGGCACGATCAAGTGAGCCTGGTATTGTTCTTTGCGAAAATACATGACTGAATGTTATTTCAGTGCAGATACCAGTCATCACCAGTATGCTAGGCGGAGTATTGGCTATCATCCAGGCGTGACCATCTCTACCCCATTTTTTTGAAGTTGAGTCAGAACCTCGGATTTCCTCAAGGTGGCGTTTCTAGGGGTTGTTTGACCCCCCCCCCTAAACACGAATATTTTCTATTCGCACGGAGAGAGCTGTGAGTCGCGCTACAGGTGCAAATTCACTGCGCAAGCCCACCCACAAGAAGAAAAACAGTGAAGGAAAACCTCCATAACTCCGCTCAAAGAATCGTTCCGCAAATTTTGAAGGTAGTTTCGAGTTCATTGTGTTAAGAAGAGTACAATGATGTGCACTGACTGAATGGCCAGGTTGTCCTGGTGGCCTTTCCTGGATGACACCTGCAAAACTGCTGCCGCAATGAGGATCCGGAACGAGTCCCGCATTATCGTGCCATCCAGAATCCATCGTGCTATCCGCTACGCCATCCGATCCGCCAGCAATGGTCATGAAGGGAGCGCTGACAAAAACATCACTCTTGCGTCGATGCATGCCAAGTGTGTTGCCACATGATACTTACATTTTAACTTTAATCGAATCTATCTTAAAGTCTAACTAGTGACCACCTCATAAACTAGTTAACAGGGCATGCTCGAAGTTACAAGCAGAACGGAGCCCATTAACATTGTTAAGACCGCCCATTCCTGTCAAATCTTTTAACTCAGTTTTGACCTACCCAGAAACGCATAGCAAAAATAAAACCCACTTTTGTGAACCTTGTATGGACCAATACAACAAGCAACAAACCATTTCCAAAAAGCGCGTCATGACCTGGAACACCTCCCTTGTAAGGTTAGTAAGGAGTCGCCAGACTAACTGTGGCAGGTACACCCTTAATGGGCGGGGCGCACTCAAGGTGGGCGGTGCTTCTCGCAAAATTCAGTAACCCTGTTCGCAAGAATGTTTGGAAGTCGTAAAAAACTCAGTGTAGAATGTTAATACCCGGCGAATATAGGACACGCAAGTGTGTTGAGACCCGTCCACAGTGGGCGGAGCCTGCCCTAAATCGCAGGGTATTCATTTTAAAAGTTTGTAGCTCGGTTCCAGAACACTCCGGATAAAAAAGGTGGTAAGTTCAGCAGAGGGACGTCAGTTAAGATTGTGGGGCAAAAAAAATTGTGGGCGGAGCCTGCTCTGAGGTGGGCGGAGCCGGAGAAAAGGGTCCGTAAAACGTTCCAGAACGCTCCAGACACCGGAAAAAAAGTGGATTAAGTTCAGCAGAGGGTCGTCGGTGAAGAATATGGGGCACAACAAATTATGGGCGGACTCTGCCTCGAGGTGGGCGGAGCCGGACGAAAATTTTCTAAAATTGTCCCAGAGCACTTCAAAGACCGGAAAACGTGGATTAAGGCCAGTAGAGGGTCGCCGGTGAGGATTGTGGGGCAAAAACATTGTGGGCGGAGCCTGCTCCGAGGTGGGCGGAGTCAGACGAAGAATCTGTAAAATAGCTCAAGAGTACTTCAGACACCGGAAGAAAGTGGAGTAAAGAACAAAAGGCGGATATCAGTTGAATCTAGAAATATAAGAAAGAAAATACGCGCGGCGAAGCCGCGCTCGCCCGGGGCAGCCGGGCCGTATCAGAAGGAGGCGCGCCGGCGTTAGCCGGCGAGCTGACTGGTATATTTATTGAAGTCCTAGCCTTCGCCTCTTAGATACCCCACTTTTTTGAGAAACAGTGCGATTTTTCGCAAAATTTTGACCTCTCGGAGTATTTTACGATTTTAAGCTGCACTAATCAGTCCCGTCTGTTATGATACACTCGACCCACTGTGTTACGAATGCTATGTTCGTGATGGCCCAGAGCAAGCCCTACAGTACAAAATTTGGTGAAGAAAGGTTTTTTGAGGTTTCTGGTGTAGCAATTGTTTCTTGTATACTCTAAGCTAACACCATGAGAAATAAAATACCTCCTTCGGCACACAGGCAGCTATCGGGGCGACCCAAATCTTCGAACTCCAAAGGAGGAGGACGCATGTATCCAGTTCTGAAATTGAAGCACTTTTGAAATGTATGTTACAAATCGGAAACAGAGAAAGAGTGCGTTATAATCGCTTGAACGCCAACAACAGTAACGCTTGGCACTTGATACCAACCAAAATAACATGCCCGCTGTGCTCCTCCCTGCTGTCGACGGTATAGAAATGAGAAACATTGCTAGGCCAGTTTAGCGAAGACATACAGCGGTCTTTTCTGCAACGTAAGGATGACACAACCAGCAAGTTCATCTTCGTCACTTTTGGAGCAAAAAACGCTGCACCATTGCAGTATACAGGCAGTTCGAGAGCCTTTCCATCGCGATTGTTCTTGTTGTTGTTCGCCTGAATATTTACTTACTTGGATACTTGGACGCTCGTTTTCAGAAGGTTCTCTTCAGCGACAAGTACATGCTCCTCTCCATTGTTTGCGATCGTGAGCGGTTTAGACCCAGTCTTGGTCCGCAGCTTCTCGGACTTGCTTCAAGGAGTCTCTCCAACGAGTTGCAGGGCGGCCAGCCTTGCGCTGCGCGTCTCTCGGATACCAGAGTAAGAGAGAGTGGTCCGTACGTCTGACCACATGTCCGGCCCATCTCTTCTTTGCATTCCACGCGTATGCTACGGCATCGTGGACGCCTGACATTGAACGCGTGTCTGTATTGCGCAGACTGCGACATCTCTGCTCTCGGCGGTTGATATTCAGCAGGGCCCGTTCCAATGCGTTGGGCACGCCTACATCAGCGTGGACGCCTTATTCTCTACCCACGTCTCGGATGCATAACAAAGTGCAGGCAGTACTGCACAGTCGTATAGAGCAGCTCGTATTTTCCTGTCCGAAATGAGCTGGGCCGCCTCTTTATGCATCCCATTGCCGTCCAGGCGCATTTTTTGCGTCTCAATTTCTTCGCGCAAATTGTTGTCCATGGAAATAAGTCTGCCAAGGTAAACGTCACGGGCGGCATCCGGTAGAGCAGTGCCTTCGAGCATGATGGGTGATGCATTCCACACGTTGCGCATGACCTCGGTCTTGCTGCGGTTCATCATGAGGCCAATAGCTTTGCCGACCATGTTCAGTTCCTCGTGCCATCCACTATAGCTCTGCTGAGTTTTGACTGATAAGGACAATGTCGTCTGCGAATCGTAGATTAGATAGCTTCTTTCCGTCGACGTTGATGCCTTTATTGTCCCAGTCGAGTTGCAGTATCGCGTGGTTGAGTGCGTTGGTGAACAGCTTGGGAGAGATCATATCACCTTGTTTGACCCCTTTTTTCGATCGGCACTCGTAGCTCTCGTAGAAAAATGCGGACGGTGGATGTGTCCATGGTTCATTTTTCCAGCAAGTTTATGTAGCACAGGTCGACACCAGCATGGTGCAGCGCATTCCGAATAGAGTTCCACACCGTCGAACGCTTTCGTGTAGTCGATGAAGCAGAGGAAGAGCGGCTGCTTGTGTTCCTTGGTTCGCTCAATCAACTGCGTGACAGTATGGATGTGGTCCATGCAACAGAAGCCCTTGCAAAACCTGGTCTGTTCCACGTCGCCCAGTTGTTCCTCGAGCCTGTGGAGGATTACCTTCGTGAACAACTTGTATGGTCGCGAGAGGAGGGCGATGGGGCCGTAGTTCTTCATAAGGTCGCTCTCGCCCTTCTTAAAAGCAGCGCCCACGTTCACTTGATGTTCCTATGCCCTTTCTGGATATCATGGCCTTCCCCATAAGGATTCAGTATGTACTAGTTTTGCATTTCAGAAAGGCGAGAGGACAGCGCCCATCGCTAGTAAAGAGTCGACCTGGCGACCACGACGCCCAACTTCTTTTCTAATGCTTGCCTGATGGTGCGGTTGTTCCATTGCTGCTTCTCTCCACGTCGTGTGGTAAGAGTGAGGTGATAAGGGGAAACAGCTGAAATCAACAAGTGAGAACTCGTGCAACCACTCCTTCTCTTCGCCTTAACACGTACAACCGCTACTGGGTATGAAACTCCTTATAGGTCATTTCATGTTTTCTTTTTGATTTTTCTTTACTAGTAGGTTTCTTGCTACCTTGCTATTACTACCTGTGCCGCATACTGATCAAATTTGAACGCGGGCGTTGCCTTTAAATAGAAGAACCGTGCTTGGCTTCTTCCACTGGTCCGGGACCTCTTGCGCGTCCATCCATATACCTGTTATAGCGTCTGGTGAGCTATTTTATGACGGTGCGGGACGCCCACTTCTGAAAGTCTGGTGAGCTATTTTATGACGGTGCGGGACGCCCACTTCTGAAAGTCTGGTGAGCTATTTTATGACGGTGCGGGACGCCCACTTCTGAAAGTCTGCTGAGATGCGGTCAGGTCCTGGTGTCTTCCCGGCTTTATTTGATGCAAGGCGTGTTGCACCTCCCATTCTTCTATCTGTGAGGCCGCGTCCTGCGTAGGTGTAGGTATGCGTGACCGGCATCGTTGATCGGTAGAGATTCGTGTAGAAAGTGACGGCGATCTCTTCAATCCTTGCTCTCGATGTCAACGGCCTGCCCATTGCGTCTCGCATAACCGTGGTGATCGAGCGAGAGTCGTTGATGTCTGGACGACATCGTATGAGACTCGATCTCGCTTCCACCGCTTCCTTCAGTCGAGTATTCTTGTAACGCTAAATCGACTCCTTCACTGCGATGCGGCACGCTTTGTTGATCACGGCGCGTTCCAATGGTGTTGATGCAAGGTTACGATGGACGACAGCGCGTTGCTGCAGCAGTGCGGGAGCCTTGTCGTCAATCCTGCCTTTCGAATCCGTCCTTGTTGTGATAGCCGATGCCATAGCGCAATGTCGAAGTCCTTCTACAAGCATGGTCTTGCGACAAATCTTGCGCCTCCTGCCTCGTGTAGTAAGCAGCGGCCGCCTCCATAACGTTTGCGTCGTAATGTGGCAGCCGTATGGGTGGAGGTCGGATGAAGTCACGTCCTCGGATATTTGCTCGGAGACGAATTTTTGCTCTAACCAGCCTCTGGTCGCTCCCAGTGCGGAATGCGGAATGAATATAAAGCAATGTTACTGAGAGATCCTTGCCAGTTTTCGGACAGTTCGTGGATGCGATCGCTTAACAATGCACGCCGGCGCGATGCAAGGTTGGACATCACCTCAACTTTGACTTGGGCTCAAGTCGTGGAGGTTTTCTTGGCTGTATAACGGTTGAATACAGGAGGCGACTAGCAGTCAGAAATAGCAATGTCTGAACTACACCAATGCAAGGGGAGAGCCACCCAGCTCTATTGCATTAAGTACGGCTCGAACTTTGACGGGATATGCTGCACCAGCACGTTGAAGACGGACTGTGCCGATGGATTTTGCCCTCTGCTTGACGATTCGCTTCAGATCTCGTAGCTGCCTTGTGTACGGATTGACCGAGGAGGCAGCTTCTTCATCCAATAGTTTCCCGACCCACCGCTATCTACATAGAGCTGAGTTTACAAGTACTCCCAAACCTCACTTCGTCATTCGAACCGTAGGCTCCCGCGCTGAAGAGCTAGCGTCGTGGAAGACTGTCTGATGACTGTAGACATTGTCCTTGTGCAGCTCCACTATTTCGGCGTCGACAGCTGCCATGCTGGCGCCAGGGTGGTAGAAGAAATAGTTTAAAGAAACGGTCCGCGATCAGGTATCGAAGTTGAAAATATGGTGTGGGGAGGGTAGTGCGCGCGAAAAAAAGTGCAGGGGAGGGGCCGCTATAAGCAGAATCCAGTGTTTCCCTCCTTTTTCCAGTGACTTCGCTCCCAAGCGCCTGAGAAAACCAAGTTTTCGGACGAGAAAAGCATGAACATTCGAGCCCCTTCGTTATTTGACGTAGGGTTGTATTGGGTCAGCTCAGCGCCCCAAAGGGGTACAACTGGAAATGTATTGCAAAAGTATGTACTGCAAAGTGCACGAAAAGTTGGAGAAAATAGCATCATTTTGAATTTGAGAAAGCAAAACAAACTCAAAAACAACAAAGAAACATTAAGATGTGATGAAGTTCACTGAAAAAAAATAAGAATATTAAAGGTCAGTCTTTCATACGTGGCGCCACACCTACTTTCTGGCAGCGAGCCAATAACGTGGAACGCTCGTCCATTAGCGCTGTTTCCCCATCGCATGCACGTAAAAACCAGAATTGTAATGGGGTTCTATTTAGGACATTGGGCATGTTTTTCTGCTTTTTTCTTCACTACCGAGTTACTCTGAACCTTGTCCTCTTTATGCGAAGTCCAAATTCACTATCTAAGATGGCAACTGATCGCGGCTTTGCCTTTGAGGAAGCGCTTGAAGGGGTCGGTGCTGAAGAGTAGCGGATAACATTCTCGTCATAAATGCAGAAAAAGGATGAGCAGGAGCCGAGCCGTGACACTAAATAGAAAGATCAATCCTAAATGTGTAAATGCTCACATTACCGGTTAGCCCTCTTAGGTAATGGCGAATACTTGGGTTCAAAAAGTATGACAAGAACTTTCTTAGTGTCACTGGCTCGGCTCCTGCTCATCCTATATAATATATATATATATATATATATATATATATATATATTATATATATATATATATATATATATATATATATATATATATTATACTATATAGATATATATATATATATATTATATATATATATATATATATATATACTATATATATATATATATTATATATATATATATATATATTATATCATATAATATATAATAATCAATTATATAATAATATACATTAATATATAATTTATAACATAATATAAATTTCAAACTTAATTATTATATATATATATAATTAAGTTATTAATATATAATTACATTAAATTACATATTGTATATATTAGGTCATCCCATTCAACGTGCCGCTGGTTTTTTTCGATAAAACAAAGAGGAGAATAAATAGACCAGCGATATTTTAGCTTTCAGGATGAGTAAATCCTCCTTCACCGCCCATATTGACCCGCTCCAGTGCCCCGAGGGCCTTTGGACCTCTGGTATCTTCGATTTTCAATAAGTGTGCGCTCAAATTGCTTTGTATTGCCAATTCGGCAAAATGACAAAACATTGCTAGCGCTCTGCCCGTTTGGAGAGTCACTCTCCAACTGAATAGAACCAGCAGTAATGCGCATGGCTTTAATCGATCGGGGAATGTTTGGGCGATTGAACCCAGGTCTCAGCATTGTTCGTGTCCCAGCACTGATCTACAATACAGTGCTCGGTCTGGTAACTGACGAGCCACGGTGGCCTTTCTTGTAGTTTGTGCTGGTTAGCATCACCTTGCCGATCTGAATGCAGAGGACAGGCAATATGCCACGACAGTAGACGGATTGTCCTCTGATATAGAGGCCGCTTGAAAAGCCACAGTGAGGAATCCCGTGCTCGATGAATCATCCACTTGTGCCCACGTAACTCTTCATGGTTAGAACTCGCGGCGGTTCTCATCTGCATTTATTAGAAAGATTGACGATTGTGAGTTTCGACTGCGAGATCGAGACACCCGCATATTTCATCTAAGCCTGCGGTGCCGTTTTCACAGTTGTGAAGGTTCACATCTCATGCTGAGCCAACATTCCTGCTAGCAGTAATAGAATCGAGTACTTGCGTTCCGCTGGCTTCTATAAAAAATTCAGGCTACCCATGCGCGCACCTCGTTGACCATCCTGCGTTTATCGGACATAACTCGGGCAGCAGTTGGCAGCTGGGATGTCAGACTCGCCGGGGAAGCTCGAACAAGGGTCCAGGGCTCTGTGATCAGATATGTCAGTGCCTGACTTCATCCACCTTTTTTCTTTGCGCGATGCAATATTATGGCGAGCATCACGACCAAAATTTTTTCCTTTCTTCCTTGTTACGGGCTCCTGAACGCAAATCTTCCACCGCGTGTATCGAGAACAAGAGCCCTTACACCACAACTATGGTCCGCGCGCAGCTGGTCAAGTTTGAGCGGTGCACATGCCCTCTTATGAGGTCTCGATTGAAAAACGGCGGCCGATTTTCACATACTCGGCTTCTTTTCAAATTTCTCGAGAACTTCTTCCTGGGGCTACGGTTCGGCCAAATTTCACAGATACAGCCCAGCTAAAGGTACTACTTATCAAATGGTAAGTAGGCCGCTGCCCTATCCCTTTGCTTTTCTGCCATTCCTCTATTGTAGGCGGCACGTTTGAATGGGATGACCTAATATATATATATTATATATATATTACAGGGGTGGCCAAAAAAAAAATTCGACCTTTGCGCTCATTGACTTTCGAGGCGCCTATAAATTACACTTTATCAAATTCTGATCGGACAATTTTTACGTAGCCATATTGAAGAGCACACTTATCAGTACTATCACGACACTCCGCCAACAGCTTCTGTGAACGAACGCGATCGAGAGTTTCTGGCACCGCGACCGCGATGTGGTACCTGAGATCAGCCGAAGTAGTCGATTTTCCGACCACCGTTAGACCACCTCTGAAAGTCCGCCCGAGCAGGTTAATTGATGTGGGTTAAGGTCAGGGGACATAACTCTAATATATATCTTCCTCAGAACGAAAGCGCCCTTCCATTCGATTGTAAGCGGGAGTTTATCCCAAAACCCTTTGATTCCATGTTGGTGGCACCGAACCTGTAGCCAGGACAAGGTCTCCAAGAAGGTACGCGGCGACCAACATGTAGGGAGGATATCTTCTCGAACTTACTTGAGTAACCGCAGGCGCTCACGCTTCAGTCGGGGTCTACAAAGAAAATACCGGTCTTCCCCTTTCCAGGGTAACGCGCGGTCCATAGCCATCAATCTCGCGCCTCGGCGAATACGGTGAAGATGATTCCCAGACCGTAGCGAAGGTTGAGGAAGCTGCTCGATGTGGGACGTCTTGCCAGATCAAGAGTAGCTGACCTCCAGGTAGCTACTGTGGATAGCTTCAAACAAGAAGTTTCGCAGCTGTTTGGAGAACGACGTGAATTCGCAAGGTGTTCTCAGTCCAGGCCGCGACTGGAGATGACTTCATATTTGGGCGTTACATGAAGGCGATTGGCGGCAGCCGCCCAGCTTATAGAGGAGATCTTGGTTATCTTCCACTTTGGTACTCATATCCACTTCCCCTGTCTGGGCTGCGAAACTTCGTTGATATGTGACTTGGTCAAAGTGACTTTTTTTTTATGCCACCCTGTATTAATATATATATATGAGGAGATATTATATATTGAGGTGGTGTAGTGACAAAGTGAAGCGCCTCACACATTTGCGCGGTCCGAAATTCGAAATCCCTGGTCGACTCCCGCCGCAAGCCAACCAAGCCTTCTTCACCTCCGGGGACGCGTTGAATTGGTAGCCAGCATTCGTATTAATATATATATTATAATATATTTAATTTTTATAATTATATATAATTATATCTAATATATATTTATTAATTTATATATTGATACTATATATATAGATTATATATATATATATAATATATATATAATATATATATATATATAAATCATTTTCACTTTTAAATTCGTGCCTTTTTCAAAACCAAATTCGTCCTTTTTCAAACCAAAT